AAGAAATAAGAACAAAAGCAGGGGATCGCCATCAAAGAAAGTATTCGAAAGTTCCTTCGGAACGTATCCTAAACATGGGTTTGGTAGGGATAGTCCAGTGCATTGTTCAGCAAGATCACGAGACCTAACTTGCATTATCAGTTCGTCTCGGGGTACTTCAACACATAAGTGCACGAAACCCCAGTTAGAAGTCCAACAGGAACTTGTGGCACATATTGTGGCAGGTGCTGGGAAAGTCCTGGGGATGCACGGTATTTTCCAGAACATCTCATGTTGGATGTGCGAGAGATGGGATACCTGTAACAGGGTGCAGGTCGTAATTTCGAACACCTTTTTTGAGGTCCATAAGTGTCTAATTTTGTTCCTACTTTTTAATTTCTCTTGTGCTAAGCATAACTGGTGTCCGATCTTTCTTGTGTTTTGTGTTGTTTGCACCGGCCAGGAAAGTGTTTTCGGCCATGTTTTGCCATTTAATTTTTCGTCATCGTCGTCTCTCTCATATATGTGTATAATTACTTATGACTCAAGTGTTGCTACTATATGATGACATTTACAAACACGGTGTTTAAAATGCTACATATTCCCATCCGAAAATATCTTTTTCTTTTCCTCTTGCCCTTCAAATAAGATATATGTGTCCTTCATTGCAAAATTACCTGGAACTTTAATTTTTCTTTTTTCGAGGACAATGGAGAACATATTTCAGTATAGGCAGCTGTCAATATTCAAACATCAAATTGTAAAAGCCATTAAAGTGTGGCCGAAATGATCAGAAGGGCTAAATTCGCATAAGGATTTAGGAAATACATTTTGAAAGATTTTGTAAATTTTCCTTCAATAAATTTAATGCAACAGGCAAAAGAAATTACAGGGAACAATAAATATAGGAGAAAACAGGTATATCTTTTCCTAATTTACTTTGATTTGATTGATTTCTTTCTTTCTTCCTGTATAAATAAATAAACTTTAAGAATGCAACTGAAGAATGAGAATAAAAGTTTCAATTGAAAACAAATGGTGGCAAAAATCCTAGTGCGGCTCTGCTGGACGACGAAAAAGACCAGCAATATGATCCGAATTTGGAATAACGAGAGAAAATTTGAAATCTGTGCAGCCAGCGATGCAAAGAGATTGATCTGAGAGAAAGATGACTTAAATGAGGAAACTCGGAGATAATTTAATGATGTGTAAGGTTACCTCTACTGGATAATAATAAGAAATGGTTAAAATACTACGTAAGTAAATTATACAAAATTGAAGAAATTTAAAATATCCGGCATGCGTAAGAAATAGTAATTGATTCAAAAAATAAATGAATCCAAAGCTCTCAAACTTATACTCGTTTAAATACAGGTTTTGCTGATTCAGAAAGAACGTTACGTGTATATCTTCTAAAATGCTTTTTCCATCCTTTGTTTGTAGTTGTTTCCCTTTTCATTTCAGTTTCCTTTTTTCCTCCTATTTTGCAATTTTCGTCATTGTTTCCCTCTGTTTTTAAGCCACCTGTTTATTATTTCTGTTATTATTATTGCAACTTATGTAAAAATTAAGTAAGGAAAAGTAAGGCACTGAAACTTTGCAAATTATTACGCTCTACGTGAGATTCATGGAGGCCGCTTATTGCATACAAATAACGCAAAATACTTTAACTTATCTGCTTGGCTTTAGGTCAGAACAACGAAAACAACAAATTCACCCTTTGTAGAAAACAATTCTGCCAGGCAATAATCTACGGGGAGTTTTTTCCCTATGAAACTGAGCCAAAAGTGTTATATAGTATCTAAATATGGAAGTGTTGTACATGTTAAACGTGATCGTCATTGCATTACTTTCACTATTTTACTACTGAAATAAAGATATACCGATTTTTTTGTAGATTGGAAAATCCTCCTTGTGATCATGAAAAGGAGCAAAAACTGGAAAACGAGAAAGAACTGGAAAACGAGAAGGAACTGGAAAAGAAGCGAGAACCGGAAAAGATGCAAAAACTGGAAAAGAATCAAAAACTGAATCAAAAACTGAATAAAAAGGAAGAACAGGAAAAGAAGGAGAAACTGGAAAAGAAGCAAGAACTGAAAACAAAAAAAAACTGGAATTGACACAAAAACTAGAAAAGAAAAGAAGCAAGAAATGAAAAGAAGCAAAAGCTGGAAAAGATACAAAAACTAGAAAAGAAGCAAGAACCGGAGAAGATACAAGAACTGGAAAAGAAGCAAGAACTGAAAACGAAGCAAGAGCAGGAAGCGAAGCAAAAAATGGAAAAGAAGCAAGAACTGAAAATGAAACAAGAGCAGAAAAAGAAGCAAAAACTGGAAAAGAAGGAAGAACTGAAAAACAAACAAAAACTGGAGAAGCAACAGAAACTAGAAAAGAAGCAAGAACTGAAAAAGAAGCAAACACTGGAATGGATTCAAAAACTAGAAAAGAAAGAAGAACTGAAAAAAAGAAAACAAGAAGAACAAACAACTGAAAGGCAAGATACAAAAACTAGTAAAACAAAGAAGAGACTGAAAAGGAAGAAGGAAACTGGAAAAAAATGCAAAAAAACTGGAAAAGAAGCAAGAGCCGGAAAAGATGCCAGAAATGGAAAATATAGACGAGTCTGAAAAGACGCAATACCTGGAAAAGAAGCAAAAAACGGAAAAGAAAAGAATCCAAATCTGAAAAACAAGCTGGAACCGGAAAAGAACTGTCAAACCCGAAAAGGAAACCGGTTGAACTGCGAAAAGAGCCAGAACTGGATAACCGACTGTAGAACGATTGATTTAATGACCAAACGAAGCAAGACCCGGAAAAGAAAAATAGAACAACAAATAAATCATATACCTGCTTCATTTTACCAAAATTTATTATCAACAACATTTTTATTATCAAGAACTTTATGGTATTCTTAGTATATGGACGGCATTTGATAATATTTTGCTCGGTAAGTGTAACTACTGACTATGATATATATAGCTAGTAATTAGTCATGCTAACTTTAAGATACCAGTATTATTTTAGCAGCAACTAAGTACACTCTTTCGTAGTTCAGATCTATGTTTTCAGTGCCTTTCATGGCTGCGAGGTCTTCCGGTTTTACCTGGAAAGTCACAGTTTATTGACTTTTTTAACACATAGCTTTACACATGACAATATTTTTTCAACAATAAATTTATGTTGTGCTACTGGCTTTAAATTGTGCAAATAAATATTGCACGGCATATCTTTCATAATTGAACTCATGAAATTAATTTATAAAATTTCATTCATACATTTTCATTTTAAAATTTGTTTGACCCTGAGCTGTCTTATCCAACTGCAGATATTCATAGAACTTTATATCAAGGTTCAAAGAAACGTTCAAAAAGGAATGTTTATCCACTTTTAATTATGTGTTAATCAGCATGATTTGCATTACTAAGATTGTAATTCTAAACACAATTAAAAGCTATTGTAGTATGTACATTAGCTTTTCATTTGCTTTCACCTTGTTTAAATTCAGTTTGACATACCACAGTTTCCGTCTCTACTCAGGATTTTTCAGTGTAAAAATTCAAGATTACAAATTGAAATGAGCGAAAGAAATAACTTTTAAAATGTGTGTATACATTACATCAGAATCATAATATAATTAGATAAATAAACTGAATAATATGTTATAAAGCGAATTTATATCAATTTCGATTTCTTTCAAAATAGAGATTCCTTCGCACCTCACAAATCTCACAGAAACTCTCGGTTTGTGATTCGTGAGCTTTAGTTTTTTATATTTAAATTGGAATTTTAGGCAATTTGCTTAATATGATTCACGATGCAAATTACGATGCAAACATTCTCAAATGCAATCACAAATTCTAATCAAATAATCTAAAACTGAATAATAAATTAAAATAAAATAAAATAATTAATGGATTATATATATATGATTGAAATTTGAATGTTTGCATGTTGCGTTTATCTTTGATTTGTTGTATCGTGATATTTGGCTATCGAACATATATTGGATAGACCTTTTTTTCAGACCACACTTTCAATAGACATAATAGAACATAGAGACACATACATAATAATAATAACATACATCTAATATAGTAAGCTATAACTACTAAGACTGATAATAACTGATTATAACTACAATTCTACTCGATTTGTTTAAGTTCATAAGCATTTGGATGGATCTCGCTATTCATGCCTTCGTTCACTGTTACGATCAAATTCTTGCTCACAAATTGGTTATCTAACTAGAAAATGGTATAATTAAAATAAAATGAATATTATTAGATGGAAATGTTGGTTTCCTTTGCGTTTATCTGAATGGTATCGTATATATAAACCTGTTGGAGACGTTTTTTTCCCACACATCGAATAGAGACACATAGTCACATAATATAAATAATATGACTACATTACTATAGTGTAAGATGAAGCTCTACCACATTTCTCTATTACTTAAGACTGCGAAAGATTTGTTAAAGCATTACAGGATCATACTCTGATGGATCTCGCCGTTCTGTTTCATTTTCTGCCCTCGAAAACACATTATCTTAGTACAATAGATTACTTTTGAAGGAATGGATTATTTGAAAACATTGTAACTGTAAGAATTATTCTCTGACGTTATTACTGAAAAAGCGGTTGAGAGCATAATCTTTGGCTATGCGCTTTAAGCTGTATTAAAACCATTTTGAAATGTAAGGCCTACAAACTGAAACGTAACTTTATCTTATTTCTGTACTATTCATTAGAGTTATATACATTCCCATCAATAGATACTGAATGGCTAAATATTCTGCTTACCCAAATCAGTTATTTTTTTCTCTCTTCTTTTTCTTAATTTTAATTAGTCCGGAAAGTAAAGCTATAGAGAATTTCACTTCTTCATTAGAAATCTGATTTAGAATTTTGTTTTCGGAGATAAAAGTTTGAATTCTTTATCCCTTTTCTAAACACAAAGATTGAAAAACGTAACATCGAAATTTTGAAAACATTTATACACTAATAGAAGGGAAAAAAAACAGAATATAATGCTTCAGCAAGCATGTAAATATCTCTATCACTTAAGTTTCAGCTATGTTTGTTATAGTATATTCAGGCGTATAAGGCGCACTTTTAAAAGAAAATGCAAGATGGAAATTTATGGGTACGCGCTGTACGCCAGCTATAAAAATGTTATGTTTAGAAATATGGAAAAAGTGAGCATACGAAAATTAGATTTCTGCGTGTAATTAAATGCTTTTTATTTAAGAGAAATAACATAGTTTATGTACTTAAAAATTTTCGTTATCGGATTCTGTTTCATTTTCACCTTCACCTCTGATCCATACTTGCATAGATCCAAGTTCCTCATATACGTCTCAAGCTATAACTTCAAGCACATCATCGAATTCTGTTTCAGTTTTGCCGTAACTTTTACTCTGATCCACACATAAATAATCATCTTTCGTTGCATCTAGACCGTCAGATATACCACATAAATTAAACGGGTTTAATTTTATTCCGTGATTTTATTATCTACTGACACACTATTTATGGACTGGCATGACGTATTTGGTCTCCATTTGTAATTGTTTTTTTCACCTTCACTTTTGTTCGAGTATTCCACTAACGTTTAAAATATTCTATCGATGATTTATTGACATATATGTCTAATATCTGAACTAATGGCAATAATCCGCCTGGATAAACTGTCATATCTGTATAACACTCTTTCAACAACATATTTTGTGTTATCCGTTAGATGGAGGCTGAACATGTCCCAAAGTATTAGACTTTCTTGATTATCTGAGGCAAAAGGAAGCTTTTGCCAAATATTTCTTATCCACAGTTTCACAACATTTTTCTCCGCCGATCATTTCTCGTGAATACGGGTGAAAACACTTTCGGGAAACTGCACATTTCGTACGGTCGGCTAAGCAGGAGATCAGTACGGTGAGTTGAGATTTCTCGTTGGCCTATTGTTTCTATGTTAACCGTTATTTTTCTTTCATATCATTGTTTATTTATCTCCTACTGTATCAAAACTACTGGAATGACATCCATATTTGCAACACGTGATAGTAATTAAATTTTTCCATATTTTTAAAAACTCATCAAAGTTTTATCTCTATATTTCCGAAGCCTTTGAAAAAATTTTGCCTTTTTTTCTCGGAGAACTGAATTATTCCGTGAAGTAAATCGAATACACAACCTCAGTTTGCTTTAGAGTTTTCACTTTCATTTGCACTCCATTTTTCTATTTTTAAGGCAAAGAAACGTACGCTGTTTCTTGTTACAATTAATCCATTCTAGTGATGATGGGGATTTTCTACAATGCAGTTTCCAACACTTTCGCCGACGGTAAGCTATTTCATTACTTCTTTATGCAATACACATTTATTCTTTGGCGCAATAATCATTGTAAAATTTCATGCCTCTTCCACTCGTGTACGAAGCATTCACGAAAACCAAACTGCATGATTTCCATTTTCTTTCGCAAACTGAATGACTTAACATTTGAAACTTGCATTGTGTTTGTTTCGTTCGGCGAAAGCCATAACTACTGCTGAAGAAAGCACTGGATGAACTACACTTCACTAAAATCAAATGTGATATCGTTAAGTCTTTGATGTTGACATCAGAACCACGGCTTCAAATGACTACAGAAAGAAGAAACATGACTCCTAATTCCGCAAATTCACTTTGGTCGAAAGTGCACTCTTATCCAAATTATGTTCCTTATTTCTCGAAGTCCTAGAATAACATTCTCTTCCACATCCAGAATGAATACAAATCACCTCCTACCTTGCAGAAATATTTTCCCCGATAATCATTTCTCCTGCGCACCACCTTATCGCTTGCCAAACTGCAATGTTTCCGCAATTGACATATTTGCTCGTGTTTCCTAAGGTATGAAATAATCAAGAAGAGCTGTTGCGGGATATGATGTTTTTGGTATTGCCAAACCACCATGTGTATTTTATTGCTTTCTTTATTTACTAAAGACCTGATGATGCATTGTAATTAAGCGATATAAGAACTTGATTTATATGCGATTACGTTTTCTTATACAAAATGTTCCAACAATGTGCTTATGCGTTGTAATTTCATTTATTCAAAACTCAGTCTAGTTATATTTATAAAATTTTCAATAGCAAACGAATGTTTTAAGAAAACAGTTTAAACGTTTTGGGTCAAGATACTTTTCAAAAAAAGTCTAATCCAAGAATTATTTATATGAGAAATTTTATGTAAAAACAAATGGCGCACATTTTTACGTTTGAAATTTACTGGCATATTCCATGCCAAATTTAGTAAGAGATTTCAGGTTTTTACCAGCTATAGGAAGTCAAGGATTTCTAGAATAATTTACAAAGTCAAGGACGAGTTCTGTCTATTGTTAATTGGTATTTTCATTTCCAAAATAGAACGTTGAAGCAATTAAATTTTGAGAGAAGTCTTTTTATTTTTTTTGGCACGCTGCATAATGAGTTCATTTCAAAAAAGCTGAAAATAAAAGTATCAGTTTTCTACATTTTAAATCATAATAAATAACTTACTAATTTAAAATTTAATCATAAACAAGATTTTACTCCCACAAAAGCCGTCTTATCCATTTACGCCATTTTGGGCACTTTTCTACTGAATA